CACCTCAATCCAATTCAACTAAATCATTAGCCGTCAGCGACAAAACACTTCTTCCCAAACAGTGTAAAAACAGGAAAACTTGGAACAGAAAAACGTGGATTTCACTGGCGTGATTATAACGCCGGGTAACTACTGTAGAGGGTTTAAACCCCTTGAGGAAAAGTAAAGCCCGCAATCATGGCGCTGTATTCAAGTGTCGATTTGTGTTCCCCTTGAGCCATATGTGAACAGGAATCAGGCAAGGCAATTTACCTGAACGATCAATTTGTGTCAGAAGATTTAACTTCTCACTGATAACTGGATTTCCCTCCAGTGTAGCACCCTTGGGTCGCAGCTGTTGTATTGAAGGAGTGGAAGATAGTTATTTGTATTGATAACGGGTAGCCTTTATGATTTGTTGAGGCAAATGCCTGCCCCAGTCGGCGAAGGCTCCGTAGTTTGATTCGTAGAGTTATGTTTTGTTGCTGTTGCAAGGATCTGCTGATCTTGTGTTCAAATTGGGATTTGGTCTGATAAATACGAGTGGTTTTTCAGTGAAAGGTTATCAAAGTCCACAATAGTAAATGTCTCCTAGTGCATAATGTCTTTTACTTTGACATTTAGTGAGTGAGTGGGCATGGTTCGTGCATACGCCTTCAGCAACATTCCAGCGGGTGTCACATTAAGCAATCACGCCTTAAGGACTGAAATAGTGTGGAAGCGGCGTTTAACTCTACCCACTAATATAGTGAGTGCGGAGATTATGTACCCTGAAGATGAAGGTGATCTTGAGGCAGGGACATTGACGACTTTTATAACTACTTTACCGTTGTCGATGACGTCAACACTGGTGAAACAATCACCCATGCCCCGAAAACAATCAGTATTGCCCGGCAAGAGATTCCAGGACATTAAGAGATGAAATAAAAGCCCTGAAGATTAATTTCCATTCATTGATACATGACGTGTGTATTGTCGGGAATGCTCTTTTAACACTTATATATTTCTATCAAGATGTTGTAGCCTTGCAGTAAAGGTTAATTGTCTGGTAATAATGGCAGTGCCAGGCCAATGTACGATTGGACAGTGTTACGGTGCTAACTGGGGCGGACGGTACCGCTATGAGGGATAATGCCTGGAGTAACTGATGTGCAGATTACCGTACTATGGTGAAGGAGAAGTGTTATTTGCGAAAATGTTCGTAAAAGTGGGGATCTTATATTAAATGGAATTATTGATACAATCCTTTCTCTGATATCAAGTACAATATCCCGTCTCCTAATATCATGAACAATATCCCGTCTCCTAATATCATGTACAATATCCCGTCTCCTGATATCATGAACAATTTTGCGTCTCCTGATATCATGAACAATATCCCGTCTCCTAATATCATGAACAATATCCCGTCTCCTAATATCATGTACAATATCCCGTCTCCTGATATCATGAACAATATCCCGTCTCCTGATAGCACGCACAATATCCCGTTTCCTAATATCATGATCAATATTGCGTCTCCTGATATCATGTACAATATCCCGTCTCCTAATATCATGAACAATATCCCGTCTCCTGATATCATGTACAATATCCCGTCTCCTGATATCATGTACAATATCCCGTCTCCTAATATCATGAACAATATCCCGTATCCTAATATGACATACAATATCCCGTCTATTGATATCATGAACAATATTGCGTCTCCTGATATCATAAACAATATCCGTCTCCTAATATCATGTACAATATTGCGTCTCCTGATATCATGAACAATATCCGTCTCACGGTATCATGAACAATATCCCGTCTCCTAATATCATGTACAATATCCCGTCTCCTGATATCATGAACAATATCCCGTCTCCTGATATCATGAACAATATCCCGTCTCCTGATATCATGTACAATATCCCGTCTCCTGATATCAACGTACAATATTCCGTCTCCTGATATCATGTACAATATTGCCTCTCCTGATATCATGTACAGTATCATGTATACTATTCAAGTCTGATGATGGAGCAATCAGAAAGTTTCAATGAAAGGATACTAAAAGTGTCAGAGAGTTGTAGTGTAGGATAAAACGGATGAAGAAAGAGTGTCAACATGGGCCAGTACAGGGATAATGCAATTTAAACCCAACCTGATATTTTTATTTTATAGTAACACACATTGTTGCGTCATTTGGACCGTATTTAATCTGCGTTGCTATTTGTTATCAAACCATTTTCAGCCCAAATTAAAACATCGATGAAAATGAACATCATTGAATAACCATACGCATACTACAGTCGAATTAACGTTGTTAGAACTTGGGTACCTTACATTGGACAGTTCCATTCATCGATGATAATATGATATATGAGACTCCTCACAAAGCTGAAGAAGGTGCAGGACATTGGTGCAAGGATCATCAGCAGAACAAAGAAGCGCACTCACATTACGCCTGCCTTGAAGTCCTTGCATTGGCTGCCAGTACGAGCAAGAATAGAATTTAAGACTCTCACATTTGCTTATCAGTGCTTTCACTCAACTGCGCCAAGTTATCTAACTGACCTACTCTCCAAGCACAGTCCTGTGAGAACATTAAGATCAGGAAATCTTCATCTTTTGGAGATACCGAAAAGTCATTTGGTTACCGCTCTTTCAGCTATGCTGCTCCTTCTCTCTGGAACTCTATTCTCCATGATATCAGACTGTCACCAGCCCTAGACAACTTCAAATCTCATTTAAAGACATTCCTTTACCGACAATTCTATCTCTGCTAGATTTCTGCGTTCCTACTCATTTTAAATACCGTGTATATATTCATCATAGCGCTTAGAGCAGACACTTAGCGCCTGGAGTATTTTAGCGCTTTATAAATTCACTAATTATTTATTATTATTATATATAATATAAATTGGAATTGGTGTCGACATTAAAGGAGCTGCATCTTTATGAGTATACGTTTCTACAGTCGGTATCAGTGGTGGGGCCACCCCGATTCGATATGCGGAGTCACATTAGTCACATCAAGCATCATAATCCCGGTTGGTCTGGACTCTGGGTTGACCAGCACCATACCAACGAGTGGTACAAGTCCTGAGTCAGAGTCAGTTATGGTTTTCCTCCCACCACAAATGGCCCGGAAAAAACTGAAACTTTGTCGTAAAGTTGCGTGAAACCAGAATATCCCCACAACTCACTAAATGTTACATTTCATTTACTACAGAGGTCACATGGATAACACAACGGAGCAATATTTTCTTATTCAAGTATAATAATGTTCTCCATATTTTATTTCTAAAATGAAAAAATAAGGGCACGACAAATCAAGTGCAACAATTTGAAGGCTCAGAGGCTTTTAGTTCTTTAAGTAATATATTGGAGCCGTGAAGGTCCGGGCAAGAATTGGTCTTCAGCAACCCACGCTTGTCGTAAGAGACCACTCGTATCCCAATTGCGTAGATTGATGCTCATCCTATTGATCACTGGATTGTCCGGTCCAGACTCGATTATTTACAGTCCGCCGATATATAGCTGGAATATTGCTGAGTGCGGCGTCAAAACAGCAAACAAACGAAATAAGTGATATATCGTCTTCTCGTGTAGTGATCTGTGGGACATCCTATTTCACAGTGGTGGTATGCCGTGTACAGTCCACAGAAAACCTACATCTGGATACATCTAGATTCTTGACACCTGGTGTCATTTCTGATTTACGGTGATTCTTCATATCTTTTCTTTTAAGGCAAATTTGCCTTTTAAGCCACATTTTACCTTTTAAACACATTTTGCCTTTTAAGCCACATTTTGTTGCGGGAGACACCTGTTGGAACCTGTTGCCGGAGACACTCGATATTGATCATTCTCTGGCCATGTTGTCTTAAATTTACATGCTTCTAAAATTTGGCGATGGCACAGATGATGGGTATTCTTGTAACCATGGTTTAGCTATTATGTAAATTATACTGTCAGTGAGTCGTCTTAATGATCAATATCCCTGCGGAGTATCGTATAAAACTGGTGTTAAAGCGACGGAGCGAGCAGCGACAGCCCAGTGTGAAACGCTGAGAACCATAGAGAATTCTCCGTCCCTTGTACACGCTTGTAGAGTATGGTATAATGCAATTGGCTGATCAAATCAACCAGAAATGATAGACGAGGAATGGGATGCTTGTCTTACTACTTGATGGTCATTGTTGTCAGACACTTCTCTCCCCGAACACATTTGGCTGACATTTACCTAAATGTTTCAATAATGAAACGTTTTACTCTACTTGGACAAAGTGAGTGACCTTTTAATGAATTTTCCTTTTATTATGTTATGACGTGGGTATGTGTAAATGTATGTGAGTGAAAGTTTAAGCTTTACGATACGTACATATGTACATTTTATCCAATATGTATATCCGCGTTTGTACTTTGAAATTTGTACTTGAAAAAAACCTAATTCTTTACATTTTATTGTTTGCAGCAAGGCACTAGTTCGGATACAGTTCTGCTCAAGAGGTCTTTGAGACAAGCTTACGAGGACCAGCTGGCTATGTTACAAGAGGCTGAGGAAAACCTTACCCAACAAATAGCAGCTCTGCAGCACCAGAGACAGGAGATCACGCAAAGAAAGAGGAGTCACTATATGTGTCTGGTCAACCTCATCACATGTTACAGGAAACGGAAGTGAGCATACCGGAAGTGACTTCACGGAAGTGGAAATGATGTCGCTTGTGACATAACCAATTCTGCCCAATTGTTACATGTGTTTGTAGGAGCGAAGTGCCTGGTGTTCCAGATTCTTAGAAAAGCCATATTAGAGATCGAAAGAAATTAAATCACAATTCTGGTCATGGATCATTAAAACAAAGAGGAGTGCTAGATGTTGTTGAACCTTTCTACCATCAAAGTTCTACCAATAATACTGTTCTGGTCTGAACATTCATGAAATTCATTCTCACTGTTCAACGTGTTTTCAGTTTATCAAAGACAATGTAAAGATTGAACAAATAAATTGTATTTATTGTTCACATTTTCCCTTGTATATTATGTGGACCCACTGTTAAAACACATCATCAATCAGATAGTTAAAGTCACAATGCTGTGCCCCAAGCGTCATCGAGGCGGAGGCTATGACGTCAGTAACACGTGACCACTGACCAATAGCATTGCCGCTGTCTCTTTCTTGGTTGAGGGACAAGGCTCGTCTGTGTGTTTCGGATTGGCGTTTCCTCAACGCGTAGTAAAAATCGAAGAAGGTTACTTGGTAGTCGAACCGGGTTTTGTCTGTTCTCGGTCTCTGGAACCTGAAACATTGGAATTGAAACTCATAATGGAATTGAAAAGAATTAAAGGCCAACTTCGGAAATTACGAAGTTGAATACGGCTAAACATCATTTCTCTCGAACTCCTTTAACTGGTCATTTCCTGTAACAGTATGGTCCTGCAAACATTAAACATCATGCTCAAGGTTTGAAACACTGCTTGTTTCGAACTACGAATAAGTCGATATTTTTCAGGACCTTCGGTTGACAAGGTTTCGCTGTATATCATAGGCCGGTGGAGTAGCCTAGTGGAATATTGCTAACGGCGTAAAACCCAACTCACTCACTCGCTGTAGAAAAAAAGGAACAATATCAATCCAAATCACTGATGACTTGTAATCGTTCTTTTGTTTACATGTGTCAGTTTAAATTTAACACACTGCTGTTACGACATCCACGGTTTTCACTTTAACTATAGTCAGGGTAGAAGTTCTTGCACTTTTTTAGCTGTTTTCAAGTTAGAATGAGTGAGCGAGTTGGTTTCATCGCCTCCTTTAACGTTTTATCACGGCGTGTCTGTTTAATATGGGAGGAAACACCGGAGTAATGCAGGTCTGTGATGAAACCAACGAACACTTGTATGCCAAACTGACAAACCTAGAAACAATGGCGGCAAACCGGGATTCGAACCCAGAATCATAGTCTTCTGGCGTGCCAAAACGTCTGGAGCTTTGCGTGAGTGAGTGAGTTAAGTTTTAGGCCGCACTCAGCAATATTCCAGCTATATGGCGGTGGTCTGTAAATAATCGAGTCTGGACCAGACAATCCAGTGATCAACAGCATGAGCATCGATCTGCGCAATTGTGAGCCTGACTACTCGATCCCGTTAGTCGCCTCTCTTACGACAAACATGGGTTACTGAAGGTTAATTTTAACCCGGACCTTTACGGGTCTGGGGCTTTGCACAGCGAATTGAACAGCTTTAGAGACTGGGCCATCCGTCCTTCCGAGGGTATGAAAACAATGGTAAACTAAAATGATAATATAACGGAATATAGTCAAGATAAAAAGACATATTCAGTATCAGACGTTGTATATGTATCTATATGCAATAACATTTTGGTCGTATTTGAGCACTGTCATTGTAAGAAACCAAAGAAGCACAAATGCATAAATTTCTAAACCGGATACTGCATGCAAATTGCCCAATAAAACGACACATTTAATCAACAAAACAGCGTCTCCATTGGCTGTCTTTATTAACGTGGTTTGGACACTACGAGATGTCACTGTAGACGTAGGCGCCACAAAGGAGCCAGCAATTCTATGTACGGGGTATTTTCGGGGTGTTCAGGGAACATGTTACTACATAAGTTTGCCGTCCGGAAGAAAGGCATTACTGAATTAAAGGTGTCCGGTTTAACGAGGTTTAACTCGTTACAAAATTAAGTCGAAGGTGTGTTTTCCGAACTATTGGGAATCGGGTAGTATATTTTACAATTTTCTTGTTGATAAATCACATCTGCTGCTAGACGTATCAAGTGTATGAATGATCCATTTATTAAAGGAAGTGAATGAATGAATTTGGTTTTACGCCGCCTAACAATATTCCAGCAATATCACGGCGGGGGACACCAGAAATGGGTTTCACACATTGTACCCATGTGGGGAATCGAACCCGGGTCTTCGGTGTGACGAGAAAACGCCTTAGCCACTGGGCTACCCCACCTCCCCTGTTTATTCAACGTAAACAAAGCTTCATTAAGTTCAGAGTTATTCAGTTGTAGCAGACCGGACCCCGAGTACCACCACGCACTTTCCTTTTAGATTTGTTTGACAAAGTGTCATCAGCGTTGTACTAGAACTGCCGGCAAACGAAATGTTGTCTTGAAAACTGGATTTGGTAAAACCATTACATTGTCAAGCGTTTCCAGTCACAGTAACACTACAAATATCAGGTCCAAAACACAAGCTTGGTACGCGTAAAACATAATCGACAAGTCATTTGTCAGCAACAAATTCACTTTAACCACCATCAAACATGGGTATGTCACTGCAATGAATATTTGTATATCAAACAATGGTTTCAGACAAGTTGAAGTGTTTAGAAATCACTCCAACTTAACACACCATCACGTGGCAGAATTTCTGTAATGTTGCATACTGACAGACACTTGTCAGACATATTTCGTATATAAAGTCCTGGGGCCAATAGTACAATTACAGTTCATGGGAAAAACGGGGAACACAATTTGTATATTGAATTCAAGTGGATAACGAATTTTTTAAACGTATGTTTTAAAATCGGTGAAGGATTTTTTAGGATTTTACGAAACTTCTAACAATTAGTTTGGTTCGAATAAAGGGGGACAACTCGCATAGCTCTCCTGAAACTTCTGTTGGAAAATGTTCGCCATCCGCGGAAAAATCGAAACCGAGTCGGAAATTCACATGTCCCAACTGATATAAACGGTGTATGGAAGGGCACGATCTGACAGGATAATACATTCACTCAAAATGGCTTTCAAACGTTAATCCAACATTTGGTGGTTCATACATACATTCTTTTCTTCAAGTCAATGTAAAGAACCACAAGCCTGTCATGGTAATGTCATCTTTGTAATGCTGCAAATAATCTAAATATTAAAGCTAAGTTAATGTTAATTTTCGGTTTAATTATTATATCTGAGCTGATTAGATCTGAATATTGCATTGGTCACGTAACGCATGTTATATCTGGGATTACTCTTTCTCACTAAAGTACAGATTCTATAGTCGATTGTTAGGTTGAGTTGTATCCGGATCATCTCAGAAGCTTTCAACCGTGTGAGGAAAAGGAAGATTTTAGTTGAGCTTCCTTTAACATCAGTCTTTGTATGTTGTTTTACGCCGCACTCAGCACTGTTCCAGTAGCAACACGGCTGTTTCTAAATAATCGCATTTAGACCAGGCAATTCAGTGTTTGACATTCTGAGCATTGATCTGAGCAATTGCGATGCGGGGACATCATTCGTCACCTTTCGCCCCTTTCCGTAACCGCTATTCGGCTTGTCCCGGAATAACACGAGTTGGCGCGAATGGTGGTGACATGTGTCAACCAGTTCAGCGAGCCTGACCACCAAATCCCGTTGGTCGCCTCTTACGACAAGCATGGGTTGCTGAAGGCTAGTTCTAACCTGGATCTTCACGGGAACCAGTAATCTTGAGCTCTCACTGTTGCTAGTGAATGATCGATCTGACGTCATCAAAACGTTAGTATACTAAACAACTTGGTTTAAAACACATCTCTGATAACTGCATCAACTACACCACCATCGAATAAACGTAACGTGTTTGTTTCACATTAGCCGCATGCAGTCATGCGCGGATGCTTTCTTTGTCCATGCGGTTCACTTGTGAGTGAGTGAGTGACTGAGTGATCTATGACAAATTATGAATACTCGAACCTGGGCCAGTCAAACCAGTGATTGACATCATGAGCAGCAGTCCGTCAGTGTTGACTCCCCTGTCTACAAAGCTGACCACCCGATCCACAAAGGTCATTCTTACGATCAGCATAGGTTGGTCGGAATGAATTCGAACTTGAAATTCCTACTAAGCAGTCGTCATGCGAATATGCAAGACTTATGCCATAATGTAATTATTTTCATCAGTTGTTTCTGAACCTAGCAGCCTACCTTGTGCCAGTGATATTGTTTACAATATTTACAATACTGTTTTCTGCTTGTTTATTTTGCTTTTATTTTATAGTGCACACGTGTGTCTTCTCACTCGTCAACGTGCGTCAGTTGGCCCTATTAGATTGAAAAGAAGCCTGCTAATGTTGCTGCTCCGACACATGAGGATGTGTGTTAATTAATGAACTCCCCTTTCAGACTTCTCCAGATGTGGCCTAAGCTGTGTTAATATATACTGACGACAAAAATAAATGATCAAATGACAGTAAGATGTTAGAATTAATTTCGGCCGCGTAGATCGATACCTGATGTGGCCATCTTGATGGGCGACACATGCACGGCGCCTTAACAGAATTCTGTTGATTACCGTGCGTGTGGGTTGCCCTCGGTGTTGCCCGTCGTTCCGATTGAACTACCACACGCCGGGTCATGTTAGCAGGTGTTGGATCTCTGACGTGCACTCTCAGCCCCCTCAGCCCCCTGAACATACCGCAGATGCTCTTCTGGGGAGTGAGTGAGTGAGTGAGTATGGTTTTACGCCGCTTTTAGCAATCACTGCAGGGGGACACCAGAAATGGGCTTCACACATTGTACCCATGTGGGGAAGCGAACCCGGGTCTTCGGCGTGACGAGCGAACGCTATAACCACTAGGCTACCCCACTGGAGAATTGTCAGGGGACTTAGTCCAATGTCCGTATGCCTACCCGTCAAATATAACCTATATTCGTCTGTAAACATAGTGGGACGCCACTGGCGCGCAGTCCGTGCCTGGTGTTGCCACACCATTGCCCTAACCCTAACATTATCCCCGACCCCAACCCTCAAACCGCATATGCCAAAACCCCAATCCCAACCTTCAAACTCCAACCTTCAAACCCCAACCTTCAAACCCCAACCTTCAAACCCCAACCTTCAAACCCCAACCCTCAAACCCCAACCTTCAAACCCCAACCCTCAAACCCCAACCCCAAACCTTCAAACCTCAACCCCAACCCTCAAAAACCCCAACCCTCAAACCCCAACCCTCAAACTCTAACCCCAACCCTCAAACCCCAACCCCCTCATTAAATATGAGATGATGAAAGAGGTACTTGGAAGCGTGTCCCTTGCTCAGCTGCACAAGTGATTGCGAGTTTCCTGACAGGTGTACTTCCTTTGTCTCTTGTGGGAACGAGTGTCACGTGCTGCTCATGCATGGTGTGAAATGTCACTGTGATTAGATGTTGTGTTCAGGTGCAACGCAACTGTATTATACATGAACGCCGTCAACGAGAGCTGCATTCAAAGCTTTTCATAAGGGGCGACCTCTCTCTGACATGGTTCGGGTTTGTGGTCTTCCCAATTGCATTGACCGGTGCTGATAGTGTCAGTGTCTGGATTGTCTGGTCGAGACCTGATTATTTACAGACTGTCGTCATATACCTGGACAATCACGAACAAAGATGGTGGCCAAGTCGGCTCTTTCCTGGACAGAGTTGCGTCCCTTGGGCGTGCAGGGATACGCCCAGTATTTTGGGTTTGAATGTACCAGATTCGACCTAATTGTGATTCCTGTTTTGTGTTAGCACCATACCCATGTGCATAGTACTTATCTGATTCCTACATCACCTATGATAATTCATTTCTACGTGTAAACATTCATTGACTTCTCCTTAAACTATATTACCTCAAAACTAAAAGAAGACTGACTGACTGACTGAGTTTGGTTTTACGCCGCTTTTAGCAATATTCCAGCAACATCACGGCGGGGGACACCAGAAATGGGCTTCACACATTGTGCCCATGTGGGGATTCGAACCCGGGTCTTCGGCGTGACGAGCCAAAGCTTTAACCATTAGGCTACCCCACCGCCCCTCTAAAAGAAGAAAAGAAACGTATGCACTCTGTAGCATGTATTTGAAACTGGTCTGTCATGGTCTACCTGAAATACTGTTCAAAGCGGCCCAAACCATAGCAACTCACTCACTCGTTCACTCCAATTAATACATTATTAGATTTTGCGCGATTGCTGCTATTTTGTCAGGAATATGCATACGAGTCAAACCTCATTACGCACTCAATCAAGGCAAGGAAATCCTGAGACTAAGTGTAAGGCGGTCCAACAAGACAGTGTTATAATGCTGACTTATCCAGACCGGTAGCTTGACGTCCTTAGAGATCAAGCATTGACGTACCGAAGACATACTCGTAGCGATCATGACAACAGCTTAACAATGCCTCCACGAGAGGGGTTATTGACCCTCGACGTCCTTCAGGAGAAAAGACCAAATCTGTTATGATCCGGGTTGTTTTGATCCAACGTCCTTGCTGTCAATTCATACACAAATATACGTCAGAATGCATGATGAGTGTTGTTTTACGCTCCAGTCAGTCCAACTTACCAGGCAACAGAGGGCCATTTCGTAGCTTGGGCAAGACGTTTAAAGCCGTGCTACATGTGTGAAGAAGGAGTGAGTGAGTGAGTTTTACGCCGCACTCAGCAATATTCCAGCTATATGGAGGCGGTCTGTAAATAATCGAGTCTGGACCAGACCAGACAATCCAGTGATCACCAGCATGAGCATCGATCTGCGCAATTGGGAACCGATGACATGTGTCAATCAAGTCAGCGAGCCTGACCTCCCGATCCCGTTAGTCGCCTCTTACGACAAGCGTGGGTTACTGAAGGTACATTCTAACCCGAACCTTCACGGGTCGTGTGATGAAGGGACATTGTTATTGTGTAATAAAGGTCATCGGATACACACGTGCATCATCCGGCTAATTTTCGCTGAAAATGACTGAATTCGGAATAACATAAATTAAGTTGCCTGTACAGGTTTGGACTACATGAATTATGTTTCTAACTGGACAATGATACTGTGTTGAAGTAAAATGGAGATGTGTAATGCCGCATTCAGCAATATTTATGCAATATCATAGCGCCCTTACATAATGGTCTGGTCAGACAACAAGGAGTTATCATATCTCTAGTTCAGACGAAGTACCCTAACATAGACATATGTCAAGGTACCAAGGTACTCTATCCTGATCATATCTCCAGTTCAACTTTATCCTTTGTCCAGACCAGACAAACTACCCTGCACATCCACCCTTCACACTAATTCATGTGTTTTGTTCAGGCCAGAAGAAGTATCCCTGTGTGTAATCCTGACGAAGTCCTAGATACAGGCAAGTCAGTACCTTTAATCTGATCAGCCAAGCGCTATACAGACCAGACGCAGTACCTCCAGCCAAGGTCATGCTGCCCAGACCAGACGCAGTACCTCCAGCCTGGTCATGTGCCCAGATCAGACGTAGTACATCCAACCTAAACAGGTGTCCAGTCCAAAGACTGTACTCTCAGCCTAACGCTAGGTAGACCAGACGCAATACCTCCAACCTAATCATATGTCCATGTCAAACGGAGTACATCCAACCTCATCATATGTCCATGTCAGACACAGTACGTCCAACCTAATCATATGTCCACTCCAAACAAACACAGCCTAACGATAGGTAGACCAGGCGGAGTACCTCCAACCTAATCATATGTCCATGTCAGACACAGTACCTCCAACCTAATCATATGTCCAGTCCAAACACTGTACTGTCAGTCTAACGTTAGGTAGACCAGACGGAGTACCTCCAACCTAATCATATGTCCACTCCAAACACTGTACTGTCAGTCTAACGTTAGGTAGACCAGAACGTGAAGTAATCAAGTACCTCAACCTAATCATATGTCCAGTCCAACACTAACCTCAGTCTAACGTATGTCCAGTCCAAACACTGTACTGTAAGTCTAACGTTAGGTAGACCAGACGGAGTACCTCCAACCTATTCATATGTCCATGTCAGACGGAGTACATCCAACCTAACCATATGTCCAGTCCAAACACTGTACTATCAGCCTAACGATAGGTAGACTAGGCGGAGTACCTCCAACCTAATCATATGTCCATGTCATCCACAGTACCTCCAACCTAATCATATGTCCATGTCAGACGGAGTACCTCCAACCTAATCATATGTCCATGTCAGACGGAGTACCTCCAACCTAATCATATGTCCATGTCAGACGGAGTACATCCAACCTAATCATATGTCCATGTCAGACACAGTACCTCCAACCTAATCATATGTCCACTCCAAACACTGTACTGTCAGCCTAACGATAGGTAGACCAGACGTAGTACATCCAACCTAATCATATGTCCACTCCAAACACTGTACTGTCAGCCTAACGATAGGTAGACCAGACGGAGTACCTCCAATCTAATCATATGTCCAGTCCAAACACTGTACTGTCAGCCTAACGATAGGTAGACCAGACGGAGTACCTCCAATCTAATCATATGTCCATGTCAGACGGAGTACATCCAACCTAATCATATGTCCAGTCCAAACACTGTGTACATCAGCCTAACGATAGGTAGACCAGACGGAGTACCTCCAATCTAATCATATGTCCAGTCCAAACACTGTACTGTCAGCCTAACGATAGGTAGACCAGACGGAGTACCTCCAATCTAATCATATGTCCAGTCCAAACACTGTACTGTCAGCCTATCGATAGGTAGACCAGACGGAGTACCTCCAATCTAATCATATGTCCAGTCCAAACACTGTACTGTCAGCCTAACGATAGGTAGACCAGACGGAGTACCTCCAATCTAATCATATGTCCATGTCAGACGGAGTACATCCAACCTAATCATATGTCCAGTCCAAACACTGTACTGTCAGCCTATCGATAGGTAGACCAGACGGAGTACCTCCAATCTAATCATATGTCCAGTCCAAACACTGTAGTGTCAGCCTATCGATAGGTAGACCAGACGGAGTACCTCCAATCTAATCATATGTCCAGTCCAAACACTGTACTGTCAACCCAACGCTATATACAGACCAGATGCAGTACCTCCTGCCTGGCCACATGTCCAGATCAGACGGAGTACATCGTGCCTCCGTAAGGCTGAACACATCAATGCTGATGGAATCTGGTAGCAGCGAAGTGTTGGTGAGTGTCATGCCCGGGGGTACTGGTCAGTCCGTGTTTTGTTACATCGCCAGTTCAATAAGTGCCGTCGTTGGAGTGACCTTCACGAAGCTTGATGACGGTTGATGAAGTTACAGAACAATTCGGGACATGTTAGTGTCGGTGAAGCAAGTGGTGATGATTTTCCCAGGACACCGTTCGTTTACTCAGTTCGGGATTGTGTGGGAGTCTGATAATTGGATGTAGTTGGAGAGGGTGTGTGTGAGTGTGGGATGAGCTTGCGAATGAGCGTGACCGAGCCTTGATGATGTTTATTGTTTGACGCAACATTCACCTGGACCAAACAATCAAGTGATCAACATCGTGAGTATCGATCTACGCAAGCTGGGGTATGATGACATGAATCAACGAAGTCAGCGAGCGTGACCACCCGATCCCGTTAGTCGCCTCTTACGACAAGCGTGGGTTGCTGAAGACCAATTCGAATCCGGATCTTCTCGGGTCCAGCATTATGAAGCGGATGTGTGGATGTGAGTATGTGAGTATGAGTGTGGATGTGAGTATGAGTGTGTATGGATGCGAGTATAAATGTGTGTGTGGAAGAAACATCGGTGATATATTTTGTATAGCAATCTTTATCGTTATCGATATCCTATTTCACAAAATCATGTAAACAAGCTTTCATGCTGTACCACATTTCAAGCTGCGATTCTCAGTTCTTAAACTGAGACTGTTCCAAGCATAAATAGTGTTTTTTACAACTACGTACTTCCGCGTTTAATGAAATATTTGACCAATTTTTACAACAAGTATCCTTTGATTTTCACTTTGTCTGGGCAAAGTAGTTGATAGCGTCAGTAAATTACCGTTTTCCGCGAAGGAATTCCACATGGCTACTCCTTCACAGCATGCATCTTGTACAATATGCAAGTAGTTATCTAGAAATGGACATTGAGAAAACAATTTTAAATTGAAACCTAATGCAAATAGTTCTTAAATGCGCAGGTAATTCATCGTGAATTTCCTTAACAGCTCAGACAACAGAAGTCATTACAAGAATATCCCATTTCAGGTATTTTGGCTATCTTGGTAAATAAAAAAGGCCAAAACCCTGAGAGTATGACAATTGCACACAACGCATAAAATTCTAAACCAAAATGTCAACTGAATGAATGTAAACTGACTTTCCTATCTCGCCAATCAGTGTAACTTGTCACCAGAGTTT